CTCGCCTGCCCTGGCCAACCCTTACTACCAATTTAGCTAGGCAGGCGAGAATTCTACCACTGAACCACCAATGCGTAGCTATGCCTAGTGGATCCCAACACTGGCAACCCTAGCTTGGGCTCGGGCAGCTACCCCAAGCCGCTCCTTGTGCTGCAGTGTCCACTCTGCTCTTTTTAGTGCACTAGCTTGAGCTGAGCTAGCCCACATCAGTCTGCACTAGGAATCACATCTCCCAGCAGCTATGTAAATATATCGGTAGAGTCCCACTGAAGTGAATGGGGCTCCGCATGGACACAAGGGGTCCACCCAGCATCGGGGCCTTGGTAACTTAATTAAACATAAAATTTGATTTTAAAGCCCCGGTAATAGTAACTATTTATCTGTTATTAGTGTGATACAAAACACAAACTGTTGCAGCCGCAGACTGCAGTCAACGAAGTTGCCCGCTGCACACCAGCCCTGAGCCAGGAGAATGCTAGCCAAACCTCATTAAGAGATCAATAAATATTTAATTCACATTGTAAAGTTTCAACCTTTAAACACAGCACCACGTAAAGAAAACAATTAACGTTTTGGAATCCCCCAAAAGTGCTACCACATATATAGACTGTCAGAGAGGTTTGAATAGCCTTCTTTAGGCCAAGGGAGGGCAACCAGCAAGGAAACAGTGTTGTTTATGGAATCTTTGCCTTGTACATAGATATTACAGGAGAACCTGCGTCACTCCCAATTACAACATTTATTATTTATAGACCTAGAAGCACACTCCAGAAGAAACTGTTCTTCCTGCAGTGTTTTAAAATGAAAAGCAATTCTCCGTTTAAAAAGGGAGCACACACAAAAAACATGTCAAACTACTAGAAGCTTCATTGTATGCAGTTTTGTTGAAGCCACGTTGGTCCCTGGATATTAGAGAGACAAGGTGGGTGAGGTAATATCTTTTATTGGACCAAGAAGAGCTATGTGTAAGCTCCAAAGCTGGTCTCTCTCACCAACAGAAGTTGATCCAATAGAAGATATTACCTCACCCACCATCTCTCTCTAGAAGCTTCCTTGTCTTGTTGACAAAATGTCAGGTTTCAGACAGGGCGACAATGGTACTTGGTGTACTGAAACCAGGGCTCCAGACATCTAGGATGAAAACCTAGTTTCATAGAAGTTAACTGCAAAACTCCCATTGACTTCAACAGGGCCGAGCTTTCAACCACAAACTAAAGATTCCAAAGGGGAAAGTATTTTGATGGGGGAATAGTATTTTCGCCCAAGAGACTTCAAATGAAAAATTCCACTTTGATCACCTTCTCCAAATGGCCCTCAAACGAGTGCATGGTAAGGGAGTACACTGGCTAAAACAAGCTAAAATGTAAATACTTACATTATACATATTTATTTTAGTACTGATATGTTTATTTACACAAACACACACACACACACACACACGTAGTCGCCTACATACACACACCCCCATGTAAATATGCACACGCTTTGTGATCTCTATCTATATTACATAACACACCTGCTGAGGACGAGTATACTAGCTATCTGAATTTTTCACATTTTAAATTTCTCTCCTCACCCTGCTCGGAGTTGCATTGACTTTACTGAAGTGTGACACTGGCTCTGGTCCTACCATTAGTTGCATGCAGAAGGACTGCTACACCGACAAAGAGTCCCACAGATTTCAGTGGGGCTCCATACAGAAGCAGCAGTCCACTTACCTACAATATATTGCAAGATTGGGGCCATGGTGAGAAAAGTGACACAGAGGAGTTTCACATTTATTCTCTCAGTAGTTTCCAAATCATGTTTGCTCATTTTACAAGTTGAGAGATGGTTTTTGCATTTGTGCTTCTAACTGAACCTGGGATCAGAAAGTCAGGCTGTGTTCATTCTGGTCCACATTTCATCACCGGTAGTAACAATTTTGAGGCAAGTATTTAACAGACTATTTGGCTAACACACAAGGCAGGACAGGATCCAGCTCACTCTTCCATAGCTGCAGAGGCCATGCACTGCTAACAGTAATAAAAACTGGCATGGCAGTAAAGGAAGTAGACATAACAGACACACGGGGATAGAAAAAGGTTCACTTGGTCAATTCTGAGACATCAGTTCCAACGTTAGGCCTCCATTTGTATGACATCACAAAAAGAACATGCTCCCATTTTGCAGATGAGGAAACTGAAGCACAGAAAAGTAAAATAAACCTGCCCAGGCCACACCAAGCCAGGACCAGAACCCGCATCTCCTGAATCGAAGTCTGGTGCCTTATCCGCCAAGCGACACAAAGGAATTCTCCCAGGTAACTCTCACAAAGTCGCTGCATACATCAAGGCTGAATTTGGCCCCATGGACCAACCGAGATGCTGGAGCCAGCAGACAGAGAGTACATCTTAAATGTGCCGAAGACTGAAGTGACAGGGAGGCTTAATCGCTTGTTACAACTTGGAAGATGGTGAGAAACACAATCTCTCCTCCAGCACATGCCCCAAAACACTCTGCAACTGGAGGGGGGGGGGGGAGGAGG